ATTCCATAAGTAAAGAGGAGCCGACTTGCATTGTACAATAATCAAACCGTTTTCGTTTCCTGAGTCAGGGGATTTTTACCGTTCAGCCACATTGTGTGATGGTTTTGAATCTTGTTGGTCAGAACATCTAAACATGCTTTTGAGCATGCGTGAAGTTATTTGTGTAACAACGTCAGAAAAAAAGGTTTAGGAATGTGCGGACGGTTTTGCTCGATGGTGAATAGACTTAATCGGCTTCAACCCAATTCAAACCACCCGGAGTAAGTTTCATTGTTCGTTGTATTTTCATTTCACAAGTTGAATTCTTAGAAATAAAAGTTCTTTTTCCCACAGGATTTGAATTGGGTGGCAACGTACATAGCAACGCCGTTAGCCGATTAGGTCTATTCCTTCTTTTGCTTGGGTTAAATTAAGTTCCCCTCCTTATAGGGTTCAATTCCAATTCTATAAAGAAGTAACTATTAACGAAACCGTTGTGTAAAAAAGATAACTTTAACACCGTAAAAAATAGGTGAAACAACTTACTGACGTTTCAGACGTTAATCCTTTGTCGGAGTAAAGACAAAGGAATAACGTCCGAAACGTCAGTAAGTTGTTTCACCTACTTTTTTACGGTGTTGAATTTATCTTTTTACACAACTGTTTCTAGTTTAACGCTTGCTCCCACCATTTTCACTGTTAACGAGGTTTGTTAATATACTTTTCATTTCAGTTTTTTATAAGTCTTTCCTGGTTGAATTAGTTGTCGGTGGTGGTCGGATTATTTGTTACACAATTGAACCCCAGTGACAATTTGTTAGCGTTAATTGCACCCTACCCGGAAACTTGTTTACAATAATATAATTGTCTTCAATCACTCAGTCATCTCCCATCATGGATTTCTGTTGTATTATGATTCGACTGTTCTCATCATAATCTTCATGACTTTTTCGAGATAATATAAATGCTTGTTTCACAAAATACCATGACTCGTGGGAGCAATAAAATCATATTGCGTTCTCAAGAAACAATCATTGTATTTTCTACAGATACATTGATCTAATAGACTTTGACATTTGTGTGTAAATAATAAAAAATAATTGTAACATAATGAAAAAAAAGTAAAAATGAAAAGCTGAGTTTGCTGACCCAATAAAGGCACTTATTCAAATAAATACTAAGCTTTATAATCCAAAAACTAATGATCTTCAACAACAAACGTTGCGTGTAAAGGGACGTCGTTTTKGCGCAGGTACCAGTACGATCAGATCTTAACCAAAATATAAGTCAAATGAAAAGGTCAATTTCACTTGTTGTGAATCCGACCGTGTAATTGCCACGGGTGAATAATCCTAAAACACATCTCTCTGCTAAAATTATAGTTTGTCTCAATAATATAGAGATTTAGTTTGAAAATAGGAATCTATAAATAAATATTTTTGAAGAATGATCTAATTATTACGATAACTGCTTAGATTGGACGATTGCACCWAATACAATATTGTCGATGGATTTTTTTTAAGAAGAGGGGATAATCCGTCGAGTTTTTTACGGTAAAGTAATGCCCACTGACCTGTCCTAAGTTCAGAACGGGAGGTACCCCTCCTGCCTCCATGGCAGTGTTGTTTCCTAAACCGTTTGCTCTCTGTCAGGCTTGAGTTCTTCGTCAATTCGAGCCCATAGAGTGAGCCAGCGGTCCTCTTCCGCGGATGACACCCAAACAATGTGATAATCTACGAAATAATATCACATCAACTAAACTGTGATTGGTGGATCTGGTCGATAATATTGATAGCATTTCTCACCGTATACAATCTTGAGGTACCATTACGTAAACAGCCTTGATAAGATCCACTTAAAATCCACACCAATTCAAACCAAAGAAATGTCATTCATTTGGATTTCGATAATGCGAACAATTTCGCACTGTCATGTTATGGCTCGCATTCATTGGCTGTTTGATGAGAAGGGGCTGGCTCGAATAGACTGGTACCTGTGGTCACGTGTTGGAACATGATGTGACAGCTTATTTATCAATAACACTTTACCGAACGAAAATTTGAGAGACTTCCATGGAAATTTCTGGAATATATCCCTTAGAAGAGAATTATCTCTTGAGTGATACAAATTTTGTTCATCGTATATGGCTTATCATAGAAATAATCTAGCAAGTGGAAATGTCTGAAGAAAAACAATAATAATCTAGCTATTTCTTTTCTTACAATGTTACTGTTATCACAACAAAGTACTCACCGGAATTTTTTTCACTTKTTGTGCAATGATCTAGATGACAATTTTTAAATTCTTAAAAGACTCAAACTAAATGCAAGGATGTCTAAGTTTCTTATTATAATGTTTTGGCGTTTWTAAAAGCTAATTAAAGTAAGTTATAAAAAACTGCAACATACCTCTATTTGTAAAGCGTGTGAAAGGTAAATATAATTTCGTAGAGACGTTTTTTAGATGACTTTTAGTAATATAACAGGCAACGAAGCTTTTAGTGAAATTTTAAGCCAATAAAAGATCAAAAAGAGCAAATTTATCCTAGAAGCCAATTTTGATATAAATTGTTAGTCAATAAACGTAATTGTCTAATCCAATTATTAGATCTGAGAAAGACCCTCAGATATGAAAAAGAAAAGATTTAAAAGGGTAGCATGGAAGATAATTAAGCCTCAAAATAATAAGAATACTAGTCGAACAAATTTTAATTTGTTAAAAAACATAAAACCTAAAGGAAATGTTTCGTAGAAAATAGATTATGCATGCCCCCTTATCACACCTTAGCTTTAACTCTAGGTCTTTTTGCCTCCAATACTCTACTATAATGCTTGGATTTACAAAAATAATCGCCGTTAAGATATAGTTTTATATATTTTTTTGTTGTTGATATACAAAAAAATATAAATTTATTTTTATGCATCTGTTCAACCTATTATCTGATGATTTTTTACTATATCTTGAATTATTACCGCAAAGCTTTTTTTTAAACGTAACGACCTAAATGGGMAAGGCCCTAAAGGCACGTTTCATATTTGGACTTTCCAGAGCTGAGTTTCAAGCCTTTCTTACAAGWGTGAGACTACGTCCTATTAAGCCACCAACCGACCGARTACTTTTTTCATCTTCGCGYCTCTCTCTTTCTCAAGTTAGTTTAAGGCCGGAGGGGTACTATCAATGCATAGAAACCGCCGCTTCAGTTAATTTTTTGTTGAATAATAATAATAACAATAAAAAAAACAAGATTATAAGATAAGAAATCTTATCTGACACGTGCTTAGGTGAAACCTAAAAGGTTGCTATTGTTCCACACCTTTTTTATTAGACCAGTATTATGAGAATACGTGCCCTCTGTTTGAGAACTTTACGTCTAGCCTGCAATACCTTTCAGACGGCTTTGAACGATGTCAGGAGCGTTCTTCAAGATAATTTTTTTTCCTGAAAAAAATTATAAAAAGAACACATACGATATGGCGTTATCAGACGCAGAATTATTCACACTCTAAGAGTGACGTTGCTGTTTCCTACCAAAATAAAAAGACAATTGATCAAATGGAAGGAGAAAGCGTGTCCACAACTCGTAAAATGCGATATAGTATTTTACGAATAGACACAATTCATTGCCCTTCGAAAGCCCTATTATTTTAATATAATAATATATAATTAATATACAGAGTATGCAGAAATTATGATCACGATTTTGACTCATATTCTTAGTATTTATAAAATGTATCAGAAATTATGGGATGTCATCGCCAATTTTTTTTAAGTTGCCTAGCACGAGTGCTTTGTAAAAAAAAAATAAAAAATTCTGATCCATATCTTTTAAATATACTTGAAATATGAGCAAAAAAGATCATAATCTCTGCATATTGCTGTAATAATTAAAACAATAAAGATAATAATATTATAATATTAACATAATACTTCAATTAATTTATTAATTAGTTTAATTTCTAAATAATAATTTAATATAATTTATTCATTTTRATTAAAATTATTTGGGTTTGTTTTAATGAAAAAAACCGCTGATTTTTTCCCACTTTGAAAAAAACCATTAACCATAACCGTTAGCTATATAAATCCAGATATCTTATACCTAAATCCGCACGTAAAAGTGCATTGAAACCGTAAACCGCGTTGCAAAATCGTTAACGGAGCGTTATCTGTACAATCGTAGACCGTTACAAAAATTACAGCAATACCCGAAAACCGTTACCCTTTAAAATCAGCAGAAATCGTCAAACGTACCGCAAACCTATAATAGTATTCAAATAAAACTGTATTTAATACCATATCTGTATTTTCATATCAGTTGTAACATAGACACAATTCGCTGCCCTTTGACTGAAAAATTTATTTGAATAAAGCTATCATGCATCGATCATATTCATATTTTCATATTCTGTGGTTGCAACATAGACACAATACACTGCCCTTTGGCTACAAGGYTTATTTCATTAAAACTCTCTTTCATTTTTATATTTTCGTATTTTCTCATATATTATATTATAGTTGTGACATACAATAATATTCAKAAATTATGACCATTTTGACTCATATTCCAAGTATATATAAAATATATTAGAAGTTATGGGATACCATCGCCAATATAGTTTTTTGAAGTTGTCCGGCAAGAGTATTTTCTAAAAAAATATTGGCGATTATATTCCATAATYTCTGATATATTTTATATTTTGAAATATGAGCAAAAACGATCATCATTTACCTTGAACATTTCTATATTCAGCCCTTCGGCTGAAACATTTATATAGTTGAGTAAACCTCTCTATATTTATATTTTTGTCTCCCTATAGTTGTAATACATGGGGACATGGAGAAGAACTATTTTAAAGGAGGCAAAAGAACTTGGAAAGACTATGGAGGAGCTACAACATCTAGCAAAAGATAGGGAGAGGTGGAAATTCTTAGTAGCGGCCCTACATGCCACCTAGGCGTAATAGGAATGATGATGATAGTTGTAATATAGACATAATTCATTGCCCTTTGACTGGTCAAGGTTCATTTGAATAGATCCACTCATGATCTATCTTCTATATCTGTTCGCCTTATCTTTACTTATGACGTCAATGAAAATATTAGATAATTCAGCGGTTTCGAGAGTTTACTAGCAAACAAGAAGTTGTTAAACGTATTGTCAAGTAGTCTTCAATACACTCATTGCGGAATGCAAACTCGATTCAAAGAAAAACAAGAAATTAGCAACATGCTTCAGTCCAAAACTTCAAACCAAAATTTCTGAAGAGCGGTTACTAAGTCTGATATTATGTGACAATTTTGATCTTCATTGATCAGYTAAACCGATCGATGTTCGTGATAACTAAATAATCAAGATTTCGATCAGCTCGCACGTCTCGGTAATGTCAATCCACTTCGCTTGCATGACACCTTAATATTGATCATTTCGGAGATTCGCAGATTRTAAAGGATCTTTTCAAGGGGATTTTGCTAGTCACTGTTGTTATGGCAACCGTCTGAATCATCATAATCAACGTAAAGCATTAATCATTCATTCGAACTTTCCGGATTTGTAGTCACGTTAGGCCTTTTAACAATTGTTTACAAAATCACAATACAAAACATTTTGTCACTATTTATTATCTTCGATAAATCTTTTGTGTTTTTCATGGTATAAGCCATCGGTCATAAAAACAAGATCAAGATGACCTGATACGATATGTAGAGAAATGCATATCTAGTGAGATACGGAACAGTATCCGCTGGTTGCAGGTATCGCGTCTAACGCGCAGATAATCATCACTACGATCATCCGAATCAAAAAAGATCTCGATATGTGTCGTCGGTGCCGGCAGCAATATTGCTAGCGTCTAGAAACCCACAATACCAAGCACACTCGTCCATCACTTTAAGTCCTTGTTTTAATTATCTTTGATTAACATTAATTATTGTAATTAACTCAAAAACTCTAAAATAGCTGTGATGATTAACGGTTTCCGTTGGCTCTTCGTATTAAGAGGGCTAAAARGGAGTATTGCAAGCAGATTTAAGTTTAATTCGCTAATAACTGGTTTCGTTGCTATGGGAATGATGTTATCACCGTTGCTATTTTATCCATTAACGCAAGAAGACATGTTTTGATGCCCATGGCTAAAGTGCAATTAGACTTTGTAAGGATTTTGAGCTCCTTTTGTCCTCAAGTCTGAAGTRCAACTGGAAATGACTAAACAATTGTTGGCTGAGACTAGTCTAGTATGTTTATTATCTTTTTATATCAAGCAATAAAGAATTTGATCGCTGYGGTTTATAATGGGACAAAAAAAAATTATTGAAGAGCACGATGTAAGGTGTTAAAAATCTTTACCGAAGACTGAGGAATACTTTGTATTCTTTGTGTGTTCATTTTTGTGTGTTTCCAGCCAAATGTTTTGTTTCATTGATGGATCCGCAATCCCTCCTCTATTAATTTCTTGGGGAGCTGGCTTGAAATCGGGGAGTGTTTCTGTGCCGCGGTTTTTTATTCAAGCTCTTGAGCAGTGAACCAATTCATTATATAGCTTGTAAAACTAAATTTATATCGCCCTATGAAGATAGAAGGCAGAAGATGTTGTTGTTTCTACCATTTAGTGGACATTTTATCCTGCGATGCATCTACACGGCAACACCAACGAAACTTTCATTGATGCGCGGGCAGTCTTGACAGTCTTTGTTCCAGCACCAACTTCTTGGCATCATCTATAAATTTGATGTTGTGTAAATATGTTAAGTTTAAAGTGCATATGAACCATTTTAGAAAATCATTTAAAAAAAGGCAAATATGAAGCCAATCATTGTTATGAAGAAGAAAACGTTTTTTGAATTTTATTTTCTGGGTTAAAGGCATTTGAAAATTGAAAATGCTAATGATGTGGCGTCAAGGGAGGCTTCATTAAATATACGAACTATGAAGGAGTTATTTATAAGTTGTTTTTGTACGAAATTTATTCGCCCACAGTATGTATATCTCTTGTGCACTATAAGTTCGATCGAACTGTTTAATAGCAAGGACTTCGCTTCTTTTAAAATCAAAGATGGCGGCCGCGCGTGAAGACGTGCGCGTATTGGTGCGCCCTCCAAATGGCTAAAATTGATTAGGTTAGAAYGACGTAGTTAGAGGACGATATTTCGTAAATCAGATTGCAATGATTTTGAAGTGGTGTGYCGTGCCAAAAAACTRACTGAAGTCATTTSAATTCAATATGGCGGCCGGAAAACACGCCTCACTGCTATGGAGTCCGCGTTGTGTTCACAGAATCGGCAAAATTGCTAAGGTCAGAATAACAWATATTGAMTAGAGGAAGRYAGATTTTCATAGAACCAAAAGCGTTTTAAATTTGTGTATTTCTCCAGAAAATATTTTGGAATTCGAAATGGCGGTAGTTTTCGAATGCTTGTTCACTAGCTTATCCTCCGAATCATAAAGATTAATGAGAGGTCGGTATAACGTAGTTAGAATAAGATAAAATTTCATAGCGAAAGTTTTAAATTASTACATCCTTCCAGACAAATAAATCAATCGTCAGTTGACGCACTGTTCTGTATCGCGGACTAATTATTTTTCAAGAAATAAACAATCAATCATCATAAGAAGAAATGTGTAAACACTAAAGACGGTCATGTCGCATTGATAATAAATGAGTTGACACAGAACTGAGAATTCACTTAGTTTTCTAAGTCGTTTACTCCCAAAGATGTTACACTTTATATAGGAAAAGAGACGTACGCCTGTATGCCAAACCATTCCCGCCCAAGCATGTGACTTTCCAAATTTTCTGAGCAATCTATGTTGTTTACTGAATTTTACCTAAATCATGCCAATTTATTATAGAGCACTACCTGATTGCTTACGAGCATACAAAAAACAAATTCAATAAATTGTATTAATTAAAAGGCAGAACTTAGTCTA